CAATGCAGCTGCATTGCTTCTACATCTCTACTGGAGAGAGGGCTCAGGAAATTTTGCCACTTTGTCATAAAAACTTTTTCAGAGCATGTTTTTATGCTATGGTGGTGAAAATGCTTGAGCCCTGTCTATGCTAACCTCACACTGTTCCTACCACTGGTTTAGCTTTGCCCTGGGTGGTAGTTGCTATAATATGGGGTACACATTTTTCCCAATGTAGACAAGGCACTATAAGCATAATGTTAACAATGACAGTGTTTTAAAATGAAAACAACCTAATCAAATAAACAATCATTTATTGTTCCAATAACGATCCTAAGAAGAACCATGTTTTTTTTTAAGACCAATTATAAGGAAAAGGCACCTAGGTCAACAGATTCAAGTGACAAGTGCTCAAACCTGTAAGGTGTGGCAGAAAAGTGTTGCTCAGCCAGCAAGGCCCAGGGGAGTCTCAAACAGCTATCTGGGCAAATGTGGCAGCTCAATTCTCAGTCTCCAGAGAAAGCCTGTTAAAGTAATTTTCAGATTCCCCTTTTGAATGGAAATAAGGTGTGGATTTGACTACAGGATCCTTATTATTGCTGGGTATATTAATATGAAGCAGGTGTCTTGGTCAGGCTGTTTCTAGCAGATATCAGCAAAGGCCACATCCTTGTATTCCAGTATGAAAAAATCTTAAAAGAATAAAAGTTTCAGCATAGCTGCATGTTATTGGGTTGCTTGCTGAATTCACAGTCTGCCTTAACCATTTCCCCCCGGTATCAATGTCTTCTGCCCTCTCCAGAATCTCTGTGGCTCCGCTGTTACTTTACCTTTCATGGTTGTCCAGGCTTTTCCTTGAGAAAAGTTCTCTCCATTTTTATATTACTCTACCATCTGCTGCAGCTTCTCACCAGGAGTCCCCATTCTGTTTTTTGCATTATACCCGATGTAATATTGATGGTACCTCTTGCTTTGTTTTGCTATGCACTGTAACCACACCAAATGTGAGGAGTACTTGTGTTGGCAATCCAGTAGCTTTTTCCACCTTGTTAGATGTGCGCCTTTTGTGGATGGACAGATAATCGAGTCTTTTGTCCTCTTTTCTAGCACTAAAATTCACTCAATGTTTAAAATAATATTTCACATTTATATGATGTCTATTAAAATATACCAAACAGTAAAAACTAAATATGTATAATCATTCTCTTTTTCCTCTGTTAAAAATAACTATTAAAATTTTCCCCAATCTTTAGCAAATAAGAAGATCTTCAAAGACTTTTTAAAATTAGTTAATGCTGCAGCAACTCCCAGACCAGAAGTTAGGAGCACCATTCTGCTCCTGGCTGGCCCTGATCAAAATTCCTATTTTCTCTCATCTAAAAGGCTCAGAGGTTTGGTTCACAGAGTGGTATCAGTTTGGTAAAATATATGAGATGTAACTACTTGGGCATTTAAATTATCAGCATTTATTGTTATAGTGAGCATAAATTTGTATTTGCTAGGTGTGGTATTAAATAACCAGATGTAGTGGGTTTTTTTCCTTCACTATTTTTCCTAACTTGTTTGCATTTTCTTTTGTAGGACATTCTTATGCAAGAGGCTAAACGTAATTAAATTTGCAGGATGAAAAGATGGCACAGGCATTGCTGGTACCACCAGGACCTGACAGTTTCTGCTATTTTACTAGAGAATCTCTCGCAGCTATTGAAAAGCGTGCTGCAGAAGAAAAAGCTAAAAAACCCAAACAAGATCATACAGACAATGATGATGAAGATGGCCCAAAGCCAAATAGTGACTTGGAAGCAGGAAAGACACTGCCATTTATTTATGGTGACATACCTCCAGGAATGGTGTCCGAGCCCTTGGAGGACCTGGACCCATATTATATCAATAAAAAAGTGAGTGTTTATTAAGACTGCTGTTTGGATGCCTCTGTTGACAGTCGGGTAAAATTCTCTAGAGCAATTGAATTTTTTTCCCTATTCTCTCTCTCCCTCTGTGAAAGTAAATGCATTATGTTATTTTCATTATACTATATCTGATCCTTTAATCTAATTGTACCTTTCAGTATTTAATACTTGGAAAAATTACTGGAGAGTAATCTTCTACACAGAGTAGCATTATTCTATCAACTATTAATGATAGAGGTTAAAGTTTAATCACTGTATTTTTAGAGCAATCAAGCCACAACACTATACTGAAAGCCTATTGGCCTGACTCCAATCTGATTTATGCCACTTCTATACTGCTGTAACCTCACAGGGTATAACTGAGTTATGCCTGATTGACACCAGGTAAGTGGCACAAAATTGGCCTGAAGATTGTTGAAAACAGAGTCTGGGATGGAGAAGGTTGTAGGTTATAGGGTTGTGCCAGCCAATCTTCAACTGGCAGTTTGTGGTAGACATCATAGTAAAGTTGAGATATGCAGGAGAGTTTTATGGCTTTGAAGACTAGTTCAGGAAGGGAGTTCTATGCATAAGAGGCAGTGTGCAAAGGGTTCAAATATGCTTGTGGGAGAAGTGGACAAATAAGCGGATAAGGCTGTGGATATAATGTAGTAGTTCCGTACCACATAATGTATTTATATTTGAAAAAGAGTTTGTAACCCACAAGAAGCACACTCCAGCCCCACCAACTGCATAATCATATTGTCCTCACCCTGACAGTACCCTTCTCTGACTCCTTCCTGTGTTGTCATCTCCTCCTATTATTTTCTCCATCTTCACCTAAGATCTGATTCTGCAACCCCTTACTCATGCAAGCCATCCCTTTAACTTACTATACACTTTACCTTATGTAGCACCATACATCCTAAGATCTGGTAAATGAATATCTTGACCATCTCCAAAGGATCCTGATAGCTCCACTTTGACTCTGCTTTTGATAACAAACACCACTCAGTAAAAGAGGGGACTGATTCAGCTGGCTAAAAGTCTGGGAAAACTTCTGAATTTTGATTGTAAATAGCCAACAACCATTAAAGAACAGAATCAAAATACTGAATGGAGGAAACCTCTTATAGGCATCACAGTGAAGTTGAGGAAAAATTTGAAGAAGAGTTTTGTGGTTTTGAAGACTAGTTTAGTAAGGGTGTTCCATGCATAAGGGACCATGTGCAACAGGTACAAAGATGTATGTGGGAGAAATGGACAAGTAAGCAAACAATCACCTTGGTGTGACTATGTTTTTTCACCTTTCCTTTGTCTTATTATATTCTCAAGCCATGAAACATCAACTTTTTTCAGTGTCCTTTTTTTCTCTTAAATTTATTTTCAGGGTTTTCATTTTTATTTGTTCTTTTAAGCTCTCTCTTTCTAAAAGACACGTTTTGATCCAGCCAGTCTGTTTTTATCTTCAGCATTTTCTGTTTTCTTTCTCTGCTCTCCTTTCTTTTCTCTTTCCCATTCCCTCCTCATTCTGTTTCTCTTCACTATTGCCTCTGTCCTCTTCATTTCTCCCTCTGATCCCAAGTTGTCTCTTTCTTTTCTGCTGTCCCTCCCGCTTAGACTTTTTTTTTTTGCACTCCCTTCCTGTAAACCCTCTACCCTGCTTTTCCACTTCCCCCACAGCTCTGTCCTTCCATGGTATGACTGAACCTCTCCTTCACAAACAAGCCTTGCTTCTGCCCTAACCAACTTCTCTCCACAGGCTGGTACTCTGTTCTCTTACGATCCTACACACTGGCTTTTCTACGCCTGACTCCTCCCTGCCCCACTACTGCTCCATCCAACATTTCCTTTCTGACCGCATACCTGCAAGTAAGGAGAAGGGTACAATGCAGCATCTGCTGCTTTCAGGGTAGATAAAAACTGATAATTAAAAATCAGATTTAAATTAAAAAATCTGATTTTTTAAATAAAATACATTTTTCTTTCTAAAATAAATCTATTTAAAACTAAATTTGAATGTATGACTATATTAAGGCTAACATCTACTATAATCTATTACAATCATTTGAATTAAATGAAGTAGTGTTCAAGCAGCCTATGTAACCTGCTGAAGTGAAAAAAATGAATTGTCCAAAAATTTTTGCCCAACTCGAGTGGTGGCCACTTTGTATACAGGAAATTTGCTGAGTGTGAAGCCAAGTACTGTGAAATTATTCGAAACTTAAAAAACCCACAAACAAACAATACTGTAAGACCTGTAAGATAAACTTGCAAGAGTTGGCAGCAATGGATACAGGAAGGTGACTGACTAATCGCCACCCTGCACTTGAGCAGGGAGGAGTTTGGCTGGCTGGGAGAAGGTAATGCTTTCTGGCTTTGGGGAGGAGGGAAGACGTAAAGCTGCTGGAAGAGCAGTCAGCGTGGTGGATGACTCACCACCTAGGAATGAGGGGTTTAAAAAGGTCAGCTGGGCCTGGCCCCTCTCTTCTTTACTCTGAACAGGCTGGGCAGGACCCACCAGCCCTCTCTAATTAGGTCACAAATATGCTGGATGTTTAGCTATATCTGCTGTGGGCATTACGCTAGCTGCTCCACTAAGGGGGGCTGGGAAGGAATTTTTCCCTTACCACCATATTGGCCAGGTAAGGGGGGGGGGGTTTCGCCTTCCTCACAGCAGGTTCAGGTGGGCTCTGTTCATGCATAGCATGACTGGCGGTAGGCCATATGTCACAACTCTTTATTTAACTGTATAGCGGATGTTCAGTGCAGGTACTCCATAAATTAAGGCACAAAAGAACAAAAAAATGGCTTGGAAAAGGAATTAAGGAGAGGTGCTTGGTAATTGAGCAAGCCGGGGGCACTTGGGGACTCCTATGGTTGGTACAGCAGGGAGCCAACCCCCCCATCATTATAGTCCACCTTAACCCCTCCTATGAGGAGGCATGGTCGGTAAGGTCCCGGCAAGGGAATTGCTGGAGGGACCTGGATGAAAACGGGATGGGGGGCGGGCTGTGGAAGCCCTTCTGCCTCAAAATTGGCTGGAATTGGTAAGGTCTCAGCAGTGAATCTGCTGGAGGGACATAAATTTTGCACCTGCACTGCACACATTTTATCCACTGGGTTAGTCCCAGACATCTGTCTAATAATAAAGTTGCGGACTGATTAAATCCATATCTAATGTCTCCTGTCATTCTTTTTGCACAGCCATACAATAGGCTGGGGAGCAGTGGGCAGCTTCCCACTAAAAAAATCAGATGGCAGATAAAGGAAACACTACAAATGATCTAAATATCTAAAAAATACTTATGAATTTTAAGCCAATATGTTTTTATGGCAATTTGAATTTGATTTTTAAATGCTTGAAGTTGGCAAAACTGTAGATAGTTCACAGAGGTAAGATAAGTCACCTTTTTTCTATATTGTACCATATTATAAGTTGAATAGCAAAAAAGAGGAATTTACAAAAATATGAGTATAGGAGAAAAATTGTTGGAAGAGAACCTCTAGAGAAGGCTTTGGACTATATGTGACTCTTCCAGCAGGGGCATCATACTAAATTGGTCTTTGGTGATTGTGGGAGGTCTGAACTTCACAGACCTGTAACAGGAGGAGGAAATGAAAAGGTAAACAGCCCCTTATATTGTTCATTGGAATAATCACATGATACTAACATTGCTGGTCTACTGTAGTTAGAGTTGCTTTCCTTAGCAGCATTGGTATTTTTTTTAAATTACAGCTCCAAGTTCAATATTAAAAATTAACTTGAGTGGAAAGTAAAGTAGATTCCAATCTGTGATTACAAAACCCATCACTTACTAATGAAGATGAAATAAATTGCACTTGTGTAGTTAATTAATGTGGAAAGAGAGTACATAGCTAAAAGCTAGTAGTGGACATCCTCAACAAACTTAAAGCTAATTTTTGATCATTAGTGAACTCAAAACATCATGTGGGGACAAAGATGTAGGATACAAAGGTTAAAAAAGACAAACTAGTCAGGGACTAGCTAACCCATTAGCAGTAATGAGTAAACTTCAGACTCTGTTTACTACAAATGGCATCTGTTCTTAAATGTCTAGCAGCTTGATTCTTTGAACAAAAGAAGAATGGACATCATAAGTGACTAATTAGAATTACTCATCCCTTTTCCTGTTGCTATCACTTATCTAATTAGCAGAAAGTACTTTTAATTATAGAGGTTGTTGCAATCAGGAGAAAATTGTGTATGAATTGGAATCGGTAACTGACTCTGCTGCAGCAATGACCTTAAGATGAGCAGTATTTTCGCACCACCACTGACAGAAAGTCAATCCTGGGAGTGGGAGGCAGTCTGTGTTAGCATGACTCCCTCCTAACAACAGACACATCATGTGGGTGGTCTTTCACAGCCTGATTTCCCCACTATATGTACCAGACCATTGACCTTGGGGAAAGGGCAGCTTCCTTGGTTTCTCCCCCACCAAAGTGGAGTCCAGTTTACCTCCCACCAGATAAGAGACCTTGTGGGAGTGAGGAAGTTAAGGAGATGGCAGCATCTCTAATCACATGCTAGTTTTTACAGAGTGCAAAGCAACTTAGAAAGCAGTGATATTAGATAGCTCTGCTGAGAGCATAACAGAGACTCTATTGTGATATTACAGAGCAGAGTAAAGAGATTTGACAAAGACTGAAAGGAACTGTAGTAATGCCCTGAAGAAGTTTCAGGAAGGACCAAAGATCAAAGTGAATCCCAAACACATACACATTTAGAATAGAAATGACAAAAATCTAGAAGAGAACCACCTACAGGAAAGGCACCATTTGGAAAACACTGACTGCGTGTCCTTTAAGCCAACATGTAAATGACAATAAATACACAAAACTGAATGTTCACAGACAAAGTCAGTAAGGTAGCACTGCCATAGCTGAGAACAGAGTTCGTCCTTTTGGATCTCTTTCATGGTCTCAGGCTGCTGGGACTGATATCAGCTGGCATTTTTGTTATTCCCTTCATTTGCCTATGGACATACCAATTCAGGAAATTCATATAATTGATACTACTGTTATTTAAAGTCTGAACTCAAAATACAGTGATTTTCTAATTATATTTAAATTATTTAGGGTCAGATTCTCATACCTTTAGTCACAATGAATACAGTACTTTACAAGTAGCCCCATTTGTGGAGGAAGATACTGCTAAGCTACAGTTAGTATATTAGAATTTGCCCTTAGCATTTAGATCAGGGGTCGGCAACCTTTCAGAAGTGGTCAGAAGCCGAGTCTTCATTTATTCACTCTAATTTAAGGTTTTGCATGCCAGTAATACATGTTAACATTTTTAGAAGGTCTCTTTCTATAAGTCTATAATATATAATTAAACTATTGTTGTATTTAAAGTAAATAAGGTTTTTAAAATGTTTAAGAAGCTTCATTTAAAATTAAATTAAAATGCAGAGTCCCCCGGACCGGTGGCCAGGACCCAGGCAGTGTGAGTGCCACTGAAAATCAGCTTGCGTGCCGCCTTCGGCACGCGTGCCGCCTTCGGCATGCATGCCACAGGTTGCCTACCGCTGATTTAGATGTTGTTCATGTTTGAGTGCAATATAATGTATTTGATTTTATTTGTAACCTTGATTTTACTTAAATACTTGATTTTATTGTTATAAATTGTCTTTATATGTCTGAAAATGTGTAATATAAATGAAATAAAAATACATGTTTATTTTAGTGATGAAAGGCCATATTCTGCTGCCATTAACATTGATGACAAAAATTCCCATTGATACTATATGCGTTGAATCCTGATCCCATTAAAATTTCTATAACACAAATTTTAGAACATTAGAAAATTAACAATGGATAACTTAAATCAGCGGTTTCCTTAGAAATCTGACATTTACTTGCCACAGGTGATGAACAGAATAGGACTTTCATTTCTAAAGGCTCAGTTCTACAAGGTGGACAGTTCCTTTGTCTTCCATTGAAATCCAAGGGGGGGAACAAAGTGCCAGAGTTGAAAATGCTATGTACACTGTACTTTCATTGTATATTCTTTTTTTTCCAGACTTTCATAGTACTGAATAAAGGAAAGACAATTTTCCGATTCAGTGCCACATCTGCCTTGTACATTTTAACTCCTGTCAACCCCGTTAGAAAAATTGCTATTAAGATTTTGGTACATTCATATCCTTTTCAAGTGGTTAATTTTAAATGTGACTGTTTTAAAAAGTATCATTACTGAAATAACATTTTTCATTTAAATATACAAATAAATGCCCTTGTGTCTGTATATACATTCACTGAACATACTTCAATCACTCTTAAAAAGCATCAGTGTCACAACTGCAGCTCATCCCAAACCACAGAATTAATCACTGAATCACCCACTACTGTCAGATTTTAAATATTTGGTTTTAGATACAAATTTAGGTCTTTCTCCTTCAATGAGCTCTATGTGGGGAAACTCCTGCATCCATGCAGAGCCCCAGTGACTTCATTAATAAGAAATAACTGAGTCTGATCCTGTTACTCATGCAAATACTCCCATTAAATCTGATGACACTAATTCACTTTAGAGGAATACTTACATAAGTAAAGAGCTATTTGTATGGGCACATTGGTATTGTTTTTTTCATTAGGTGAGAAGGTGCTGCATAAGTGATCAGAATCAGAGAAAAGGAAGACATTTTCAATTATTAGACCACCTCATCAGATGCATGGAGTGGAAAATAGAGGTGACCTCACACTTGGTAAGGCAACTCCCATCTTTTCATGTATTTATACCTGCTCCTGTATTTTCCACTCCATGCATCTGATGAAGTGGGTTCTAGCCCACAAAAGCTTATGCCCAAATAAATTTGTTAGTCTCTGAGGTGCCACAAGGACTCCTCGTTGTTTTTGCTGATACAGACTAACACGGCTACCACTCTGAAACCTGTCAATTATTAGAGTAACAACTTAGGCTCTACACATCCTCCTGCATCATGATCTGCTAGCTTTGACCCCTGGGCCTGTGCAGAGTCCCACTGGCTCCACACACACATAAGGCTCAACATTAATGTAACTTAATGCAGAACTGCAGCTTTAAACAATAAACTAAAGGCCAGGTTCATGTTTGCAGCTACAGTATGTTTATAGTACCTGACATCAGTCATTGGTCATTTACACTGTAAGAAAATAGTCAGCATCAGAAAATGGAATGGTAAAATACAAATAAAGCATGCACACTTACAACCCAATTTTACAAATGTCTCAGATCACTCAGAGCCTTGTAATATTAGGGGAGTGTAAAATAACCATAGTCCATAGAGTATTATAAATTCTTTTTTATGACTGCAAATTCACTTTAATCCAGTTAAGAAAGTGCAAGCCACTGAAATATTATATTAAGCAGTATATTTATGCAATTAAAATTCATGCTCCAATCCTGCAATGAGCTTCCATGCAGCCCTATTGATATCTCTGACTTCAACTGAACAACAGTGCAAATGTTGAAGAAAACCACAACTAATATACATGCAAGTAGCTAGTTTCATGTGAGTCCTAACTCATGTGAGTAGATCTCATCAGTAATCCTTATTTTGTTATTTTGTTGTTGTTGTTGTTGTTATTTTATTGTTTTAAAAAATTTATTAAGATGATGTTAAAAAAAATAGTGAACAGAGTTTGAGCATAGAAGTTTCTGGTTATCAAGGAATAACATACAGATTATCGAGGGTGCAAAGTTTGGTTTAAGATCAAGTGGCATAAGGAATACATAATTTGCAATATCCCCGATTGGGGGTAAAAGGTTGATGGGTCAAAGTACAGGCATTGAGATATGTGGGTATGAAGTTCATATATTACATTAGCATCTGAAGTCTAAATCAGGATTAGTCCATATTGTTTTAGGTGCTATACAAACATATGGGAAGATAAAGATAACATCCTGTCCCAGTCTGTATTGTGTTTAGATCAAGAGAAAAACTATACTTATTTCATATTTTTTCATACCTAAGGATGTTGTGGATTTCATTTAAATCCACAGCCTAATAGAGTTGAAAGATAAATACATTGTTTCACAATACAGAACCACTGTGCTGGGTGGTGTGTTAATTAAGATAGATGAAATTACATGCAAACTTTTAAAGTTTTATTTAGTATAAGTTATATTACGTGTATATATATTTATACACTATCTATTTTACTAATCCAGGTATTAAAATACTGTTGTGTCTTTTCGATGATATAATACACGAATGGCTTACATTCCTTGACTTCTGTCTACATTGTTCAGCATGCTTATTATGTGCACTATTTTGACCAACTGTGTGTTTATGACCATGAGTAACCCTCCGGAATGGACAAAGAATGTAGAGTAAGTTAAACATACTTATTGGAACAACAATTTTAGTTTGATGTAGATCCACTCAAGAAGCACTAATAGAAGGTTTACTTGAAAACTTGCTTTTCTACACTCATAAGAGATTAGATTCCATGAGATCATCAATATCTTTCTGGCCTTTTCTCTTAAATTATTTAAGTGATTTAAAAATAGTACCTTGTTCTTCAACCTTCTGTCTGATGAACAGCTGAAGCTTTCCTGTGAGATATTACAGACTAAATCTTGTCCTTAGTGGCACTGATTTACAAGAAGGAAAAGAAGCCTAGATAGCCGCAAACATGCATGCAAACACTCGTGTGCTTAATTTGAGAGGCCAGTCGTTGTGTCTCCAGAGTGCATCTTAGTGCATGTGGACATTCCCCTGGCTTGAGAGTATATGGCTGTCAGGCAAAAAATGTATGGGTTGACTCTCACCCTCATGAAGTCACAAACTGCCATCAAATAGGCAAACTCCCTCTCTCCCCCAAAACAACATTAAGCGGAAAACCAGAAACCAGACACAAAACAATAAGCAATGAGCTCCTGATTTCAAAGAGCAGCGAAGCAATACATTGTTCTGACCTGACATTTGGAATGCTGCCCTGTGTTAGCAGGACTCCTAGTGAAGTGAAGACACCAGGAAGCATGTCTGCTTCTCTTTGCTGCACAGGCTCATGGTTGTGTAGACAGAATTTAGTCCAATTGTGCTAACAAAAATACAGCTATGAATTATTCTTTTAAAATATATTATTAGACTCTAAATAATGTTTTAACCACTTTCAGTTCCTTCCTCACTCCCCATTTATCTCTATATTGACTCATGTTGGCTGGCCTCACCACGCTGTGGAATCCCCATTTGGGGACTTCCAGGGACAGATGTAGTAGGGGATCTCTACAAGGACATATCCATCAGGGGCCATGGTCTTTGTGGCTGATTGGAGCCTGACAACAGAGCAGAAGGGCCTCCACACAATACATGATCTTGTGGATCCTTCAAGAGCTCGCCATATCTCAGGAGATCCATGAACTAAATCACATCCCTTTTATGGTAACATGGTCTCAGACTGTTCTTGAACAATACAAGATCTAGGCATTCTTTATTATGATAAAATTCTACTTATTTATGAAATGTATATATACTATAGTGATTAATATAGTAAGTTACAAGACCAGTTTTTCAGAAGAGGGCTCTGATTTTGACACTGCAAACAATTCTGTGCACTTTTTATAGTACATAGACATTTACCTACATGATTTGTGAATGCAAACAGGTAACCAGCCATGTAAGTGCTAGAAAATGTACCTATAAATATTTGTGCCTGTAATTATTTGCAGGTGTAAATATGTGGGCACAAACTGAAGGCTGAATCAAGCCTGTAGAAAATCAGCACAATATATACACTTTGAAGTCTAATTTCATTTACTTTACAATTATTGCCTTCATATAATTTTGTAGACACATGAAATTTATAGGTTTCTCCATTCAATTCAAAAGAATTTTCTTGTTTTTTTCATTATAGAAAATATAAACCTATTGTAAAAACGATACTGTATATAGCAACAGACATACCAAGACCATGTGTCTGTAATTCTTGTTCGATACTTTTCCTCAGGTACACATTCACTGGAATTTATACCTTTGAATCGCTTATAAAAATTCTTGCAAGGGGCTTCTGTTTAGAAGGTTTTACTTTCCTTCGTGACCCATGGAATTGGCTTGACTTCAGTGTCATTTTGATGGCGTAAGTGGTTTAACCATTTTTTAAGCTTATGAGGGCATGAAATTAGTGGCAGCAAATAGCATATTATCAGGCATGCTCTGATTTAAATGTATAGAATTCCTCCAGCTAGTAATGTTTACTTATTGTATGTATCACTCATTTTAGCATTCATAGTTCGACGTAAAATAATGCAGGAGCCAGCATGGCATGTCCGTCACTAAGGGACACTAATTTCATGTCCTGCATTCTTTCTGCTCACCAGAATGAAAGCCATCCCTTTGACTTCATGCCACCGTACTACTATCACTAAACTGATTTAGCTTTATTAGCTTTTCAAATATAAAATTAGTGAGTTTCACTTCAATGAAATTTAAATGTACTTGATGACAATACGCGTGTAATAAAGCGAGATGAACTACAGAGAAAGGTAAATTGCTGACTTAATTTATTTGCTAAAATCACCAAAGAGGTCTTGACGAAAGACCCAAGTAAGTAGCAAAAACACTGCCTAAATTCTGAATAACTGTGATTTAATCCTACAGGTATGTAACAGAATTTGTAAACCTAGGCAATGTTTCAGCTCTTCGAACTTTCAGAGTATTGAGAGCTTTGAAAACTATTTCTGTAATCCCAGGTAAGAAGTAATTGGTGTAAGGTGTTAGGCCCCTTGTATCTCCAACTGTTATCTGTGTGCTGTCATTGTGTTTGTGTGTGAACTCCCCTATTACAGATATGTGACAGAGTTTGTGGACCTGGGCAATGTCTCAGCGTTGAGAACGTTCAGAGTTCTCCGAGCATTGAAAACAATATCAGTTATTCCAGGTGAGAGCTAGGTTAAACACTGAGGCTGACTTTAGTTCCATTGAAGTTGAATTCACTTCTTTTTAGTATAAGCCTCTTTACTCACCACTCATATTATATAAAAAGTCAGGAATCATCAGACAGCAATATGATTCTTTGCCTTTTTAACATTAGCTTTTTTCTTTGCAAAATCAGCCTTTGAGTTTAACAAATTCTTGCATGAAACATCTACAAAATATATAGCCTGTGGATTGTTAGGACACTTTTTTTTCTTTTGCATTTTATTATGACAAGTTTTCTCTTTCACATTGTCAAAGGTTTAGTGCTGTGGCTTTCTTATTGATTTGAATGTTACCATTTATTGCAATCATTGAAAAAAGAAATCAGTTTTAAAAAACTGATCGCCAAACAGAGAAAAAGGGAGTTTGATTTGTCAAAAAATTAGCACGGGCACTGCATGTGAGAATTACAGTAATTACCTTTGGAAATTTGAATTCTCTCAACTCTAGTTTTACATATTGCTGTGGATTCCTATTTAATAATGGTTTGGAATGGAGGCAATGGTAGAACATTAAAAATAAATAAATAAATAAAATTAAAAAATAGGAAGATTTTTCTTTACATGTTGTTCATGTATTCGGGTAACCCATGACTGATAAACTTCCCTGTTTGCGAATAAAATAATGCATTAAGTGTATTTGGAACATACGTACATTGTATATACATAAACAAGAATTTTTTGCTGTTCATTCATCTTCACAAGCTATGAGGCTGTTCATGAAGCTTTACTTTTTTATAAATAAGAAAATTATTATTTTGGGCTTCTGCATGAAATTTTAAATGTACAGGCAGCACATGTGATACTTTTTAATACATCTTTGAATTCCTTTGCGTTTGCAGGCTTGAAGACTATTGTAGGAGCCCTAATTCAGTCTGTGAAGAAGCTCTCAGATGTAATGATCCTGACTGTGTTTTGTCTGAGTGTATTTGCACTAATAGGACTGCAGCTGTTCATGGGCAACTTGAGGCATAAATGCTTGCAGTGGCCTCCAGACAATTCCACTTTTGAAGTAAACATTACTTCCTACTTGAATAGCACAATGGACGTAAATGGTACCTTTGTTAATACAACTGTGAGCACGTTTAACTGGAAGGAGTACATTGAGGATGAAAGTAAGAACTACTATTAAACTGTGACTAAAAGATCAACAAAACAGACGCAAATACAGAAAGGGATATATTTTCTTGTATACTGATATGGTATGACATACAGTGGTCAAAAGTAATTCAGATATGATAAATAGAAAAGTTCCTACATAAACTGGGGAGCACTCAGCATCTGAACAGTTTTGACTTGATTATACATTATATTTATTTGTACTTTGACTTAATATTTTTTTCATTTATTCAGATACTTTTAAAAATTATTTCTCAACAGCTCATTTTTACGTTTTGGAGGGACAACGAGATGCCCTACTTTGTGGTAATAGCTCTGATGCAGGGTAAGACACTTTCAAAAATGTTCTGTTGTGTTTTGTTGAAACAGGATGCAGTAACTGGAGATGAAACCCAAAATAAAATCAGGTGTCTGTCTAACTTAATTAGAACATTTACGATTCCGTATTTTGTAACATTGGAAAAGTTTTTGTAGTAATTTGACATTGGACTTAAGTTACCACAAGAACTGACTCAACTTCTCTGGTCAAGGTAGTCTAATTTCTGGTCATATGAAATGCTCACTATCAACGTTTGTTCCTGCCTGCTTGAAAAGTGATGTTATATTCATGGTAAAAATATCCACTTTGGTATAGTCCCTTTAGAGACAAGTAACATTGAATGAAAGGTGTGAGCTGAGAAGAATAAAGTCAAGAAAGAGAAAATACAAAATATGATTAAGATAAAATACAAAATTATTAATATAATTAAGGCACAGTGGTGACTGCATAGTTCAAGGATGTACCTTACTTCCATTTCAACCCTGATTCTGTCTGCTGCTTAACTTTCCCCAAAATTCTTTTTGCTGCAATGGTTTTGTGTGTGAACTTCTACCAAAAAACAAGTTCTGTACAAAGTTTGTGCTTCATCATCTAGGGGTTTGCTGCATCGTGATCCTGCTTGACTGCACAAGGAGATAAGGGGGAGAACTTATCTCCTATGCAGTCACCTAGGACCTTTTTGGATTATGGAGCAAGGCACTGAGGGGACAGCAGAGGTTGTTTGCCTGTTATTCACCATTCACAAAGAACCTCCTGCATGCACTAGCCAGCAGATTGGGCTGAACACACGGGTGTAATAGTTACATCATAAAAAAGGTGTAGTAAATTATTCCACCCTCTGTGTCTCACAGTTTCTTCCTGGTGCATTTGCCTCGCGGAGAACAGCTATATGGCACTCCACTCTCCAACTGAATCTTAAGAGTCAAACTAGGTTGGTCCAGATTGGTCTAGAAGTTGTAATTTATTTTCCTGAGCATGAGCTAGAACAGCTTAATACTTTTTTGGAAGTCTGGCTGGTTAATTCAACACTTGTTTTATACAAGTATTTGAACCTTTGAAAACTCCACAAGGTCTCAGCAATTTACAGGCTTCTAAATAGGTCTTGCAGAGTGGCCAACTTTGCCAATCAAATGGGCAGAGTTGAAGGAATTTACTTGCCAGTTAAGCTCCAGAAACTGAATGTGTAGAGTGAAACAATTTATAGAAAACATTTGTTTCTTAATCTTAGCTGTGGACTTCCTGACTTAAAGCCACATTTGTCTAATGTTCTAAATTACTGGATATTTACAACTAGAGCTGAGTGAAAATTTTCAAACAAGTAATTTATTCACTAGAAATTGCCATTTTGGTCAAGCTGAAACTATTTGTGAATTTGCCAAATATTTTTGGCCACTAATAACAACAGTAACAAAACAAATAAATAATAGAGGCCTATGCCTGGAAGCTGAGGTTATAACCTCCATTATAACTTTTACCCAGTGGTTAGTGCACTTGCCTGGGATGCAAAAAGGAACTTGAATTTGCATCCTTATTGCATCCTTATTCTCTTTTCCTGACACACTATCATTCATAGTGGCAATTCACAGTCATTCATAATTAGGCCTTGGAAAGACCATGAGAATGACGGTATAGCCTGATGGTTAGAGCATTCATGTATGATGTGGGAAATCCAAGTTCAAGCTGCTGCTCCAATGAATTCTTCATAGGGTTACCAACCCTCCAGGATTGTCCTGGAGTCTCCAGGAATTAAAGATTTAATCTTTAATTAAAGGTAATGTCATGTGATGAAACCTCCAGGAATTCATCCAAACAAAGTTGACAACCCTAATTCTTTATACAAAATGGAACAGCTCCAATAAGAGAGACTTAGAGTGCCCTGCCTTAGACTAACCTATAGAACAGTGGCTAAGGCAGTCTCCCTCTGATGTGGGAGATTGAAGTTCAAATTACTTTTCCATAACAGGCAGGTCGGGGAACTCAGCCAGGGTCTCTCACAACCCACATGAGTGCCACTGGCCTGAATGTCTGTGTCCAACCCCAGGTTTCATTCAACCAGAAACAGATTTTTTTCAATTTATAGTTTTTAGATTTGGTTTGACCCAAACCAGTATTTTTTCCAGATCTGCCAGTGAACCAAAAAATCAGTTATTCACCCAGCTTTATTTACAACCTCCATTTTAGCAAATATTTTTTGTCTGGGAATTACTAGTTTGGATTGGAGATTATTGTTGAAAAATGTGCCCAGTGAAATTCTGAATGGAATAGTTTGACGGGTTTTCATTACGGAAAACAAGCAAGTGCTATTTAGCAACAAAATACAAACTAAAGGGGCATTTTTCATTTATGTTTATCTTAGCTAGGTTTTTGGGAGCTTTCTGGAGTTGTCTTAAAACACAAAATTTTAATTGACAAGAGTTTCCTAAAGAACAACTGTCCAAAAATAATAGATGATATGGCAAATGAAAACAATGCATTTTGTTCTGAAACATAACACAGAGTCAGAGTGGACTGAAAGTAACTATAACACCTCATATTCTGTCTTCACACAGTCAATGTCCAGAAGGATATATATGTGTGAAAGCTGGTAGAAACCCCAATTATGGCTACACGAGCTTTGACACATTCAGCTGGGCATTCTTGTCACTCTTTCGGCTGATGACTCAGGACTTCTGGGAAAATCTTTACCAGTTGGTAAGAACCTTGTGTGAATCAAGTGCTAAGTATTATTAGATATGGTAAAATTGTATGAATGGACATATTCAGTTGTGACTAGGGCTGTCGATTTATTGCAGTTAACTCACGTGATTAAAAAAAATTAATCGTGATTAATTTTTTAAATTGCGATTAATTGCACTGTTAAACAATAGAATACTAATAGCAATGTATTCAATATTTTTGGATGCTTTTCTACATTTTCAAATATATTGATTTCTATTACAACCCAGAATATAAAGTGTACAGTGCTTGCTTTATATTAATATTTTGATTAAAAATATATGCACTGTAAAAATTATAAACAAAAGAAATAGTATTTTTCAATTCACCTCCTACAAGTACTGAAGTACAATCTCTTTATTGTGAAAGTATAACTTACAAATACAAATTTTTTTTCTTACATAACTTCACTCAAAAACAAAGCAATGTAAAACTTTAGCGCCTACAAGTCCACTCAGTCCTACTTCTTGTTCAGCCAATCGCTAAGACAAACAAATTTGTTTGCATTTACGGGAGATACTGCTGCCTGCTTTTTATTTACAATGTCACCTGAAAGTGAGAACAGGCATTCACATGGCACTTTTGTAGCCGGTGTTGCAAGGTATTTGCGTGCTAGATATGCTAAATATTTATATGCCCCTTCATGCTTTGGCCACCATTCCAGAGGACATGCTTCCATGTTGATGATGCTCGTTAAAAAAATAATGCATTAATTAAATTTGTGACTGAACTCCTTGGGGGAGAATTGTATGTCTCCTGTTCTGTTTTACCTACACTCTGCCATATATTTCATGTTATAACAGTCTTGGATGATGATCCAGCACATGTTCATTTTAAGAACACTTTCACAGCAGATTTGACAAAACGCAAAGAGGGTACCAATGTGAGATTTCTAAAGATAACTAGAGCACTCGACCCAAGGTTTAAGAATCTGAAGTGCCATCCAAAATCTGAGAGGGATGAGGTGAGGAGCATGCTTTCAGAAGTCTTAAAAGAGCAACACTCCGATGTGGAAACTACAGACTCCGAAAAACCAAAAAAGAAACTCAACCTTCTGCTGGTGGCATCTGACTCAGATGATGAAAATGAACATGCGTCGGTCCGCTCTGCTTTGGATAGTTATCGAGCAGAACCTGTCATCAGCATGGACACATGTTCCCTGGAATGGTGGTTGACGCATGAAGGGACATATGAATCTTTAGCACATCTGGCATGTAAATATCTTGTGATGCCGGCTACAATGGTGCCATGCGAATGCCTGTTCTCACTTTCAGCTGACATTGTAAACAAGAAGCGGGCATTATCTCCTGTAAATTGTAACCAAACTTTGTCTGGGTGATTGGTTGAATAGGACTGAATGGACTTGTAGGCTCTAAAGTTTTACATTGTTTTATTTTTTAATGCAGTTATTTTTTTGTATAAAATTCTACATTTGTAAGTTCAACGTTTATGATAAAAAGATTGCACTACACTACTATGAGGTGAATGAAGAAATATTATTTCTTTGGTTTTTTTACAGTGCAAATATTTGTAATAAAAATAAATATAAAGTGAGCACTGTGCACTTTGTATTCTGTGTTGTTATTGAAATAAAAAAATATTAAATAAATGGTATTCCATTATTGTTTAGCAGCACGATTAATTGCGCAAATAATTGTGATTAATTTTTTTAATTGCTTGACAGCCCTAGTTGTGACAAAACTCTTTAAACTACTACTTATCAGAGCATGAATTGCATCACTAACATACTATCAGACTAGCAGTGACACTACACATTTATATGGAATTGTTTTCCCCCAGACACTACGAGCTGCTGGCAAAACATACATGATATTTTTTGTTCTGGTGATTTTTTTGGGCTCTTTCTATCTGGTGAATTTGATCCTGGCTGTGGTCGCCATGGCCTATGAAGAACAGAATCAAGCAACACTGGAAGAAGCAGAGCAGAAAGAGGCAGAATTTCAGCAGATGCTTGAACAGCTAAAAAAACAACAAGAAGACGCTCAGGTATTTTTTGTGAAGAAAATGTACTTTGTCTGTTTCTGCACATCCTTATTCTTATGCCTAAAATTATAAATTACTCTCAGAAATTAGTACGTGTAATAGTATTTAATATACTTAACAGTGAACTGAAAAACAAGAATCCTTGTTTATCACCTAAAGTGAATCAACAATTTATAATCTCACTGCGGTAAGTCGATGGCTGACACTCTCCCATCGACTCTGCTTATGCCTCTCACCCTGGTGGAGTACCGGAGTCGATGGGAGAGTGCTCAACAGTCGATTTATCGCGTCTAGACTATACGCGATAAATCGACCCTTGCTGGATCGATCACTGCCCATCGATCCAGTGGGTAATGTAGACAAGCCTTAAGTTCACCATAGGATTCTACAGGTAAAAGATTGGGGATTACAATGTTACAGAAATAATGGAGAATTACAATGCATGATATCGATGACATCCTGGGGTTACAGATCTCATAATAGTTGTGAAAAAGTTGGGTGGCATTAAAAAAAGTTGCTTCTGGTTTACAGTCTGTGAGAGAATGTTCAGAGCTGCTCTATTTAATAATCCCTCTCAAACATTGACTGAAGGAAAGGTATTAGTACTAGCATATTCTCATAGGCCTCGTTCCAGCAAAGTATTTAAGCACATACCTACTTGTAACCACACTGAAGTCTATTAGGGCCTTAGAAAAGGATATAAATCCTTTAAGTAACAAAGGCTTGATGGATGGAATTACTTCTTGGATAATCTCTTATAACAATCTTGTTTACTGGGAAAAGCAGACATTGTAAAAAATAATGTTACAAGAAAATGTAATTTTTAATATACACCTGTTGTATGAGGGTTTATTATCCAAAGACAAATGGTCTGAGAAGGTGTTATCTGTGAGAACCCAACATCTAATTTCTGGGCTTGCATTTCCACTGCCTTGCAAATCAGAAGTACAAAATGGGTATAAAATGCAAGCAAATCAGAATCCTCTAGTAATTTACACTCGTATTATTTTACACATACTTTGACCAGGTATAAATGACTCCATAAGATGCAAGGCAATGGATAATCAGGCCCCTCTATCTTTAACTTGAAAAGAAAGATTTCTTCACTATCTGAATTAGCATATATATATATATTAGCCATTAAACACTGTCACTTCAAATCATTCAGAAAGGACCAGAATTGTGGAGAATAAAAATGTACATTAGCAATGGTACATCCTTTTTTCACATTTGGTATTGATATTTATTGTCATTGATATGGAATTGTTCAAAAATTTAGCCGTTGTGTTTATTAACATTTAATATAGACTTTACTTTCTCTAGTACTTTTCATACATTATATTAAAAAATGCAGCTACAAAGTTAAAAACAAAGCTCTATAGGCAAGTGGGGGGGATAAGATAAGGTTTCAGGCAATATCTGAAAGCTGACGGAGATTAATTAAATTGAAGGATATCTGGAGGCTATTCCAGACAGCTGCCACTGTACTTGTGCATTTGCATGAAGCAACAGAGACTGATGCTAGATGAGCAAGCACTGGGGGGAACAGAGAGAAACAAAAGCTGGATAAAGTCTATGCAAAATTATTGTTTAAATGAATGGGGAGTCAGTGGAGTAATCTGACAATAGGGGTGATGTTGCCATGTTTCTTTGTGTGTATGAGAAAGTGGGAAGGATTCACCCATTTCAGGGCAGGTCACTGGATCCAGTTGAGTTGTGATCAATGCAAGGCTGGAGGTGGAAAAGGGTAGAAAGTCACATTTTCACTCCTTCAGTGATTAATTCATCCCCCAAAAAAACTTAAAGCAGCCCTCAGCTTGTTCAAAGTTGCAAAAACTGGAATGGTTTGGTAGGCACCACCTGGGTATCACCAAAGCTCAAGGGATTCTGGCCGCATCCCCCCTTGTCTCTGACCCCTCTTTACTCTGAGGTTGAGGAAGAGGATAAGAGCAAGTGGCATAGAACCTTATATCATCTTTACACCACCTAGGAATTTCGCTGTGTCAGGAGAATCCCCATCTGTCTTGTTAGTGAATCATTCTACTTCCTGAAGAGCAAAAAAGTAGCCAGATGGGGAACCAAGAATCTGGCCCCACATTCTTATTGTAGGCAATTGAGTGGGATAATCTTAAACCTTTGTGACAACATTTTGGCTGTTACGTTCTTCTCAATAAACTATCTGCTTGAGATTCTTTTTAACATTACATAGTCTGCAAACGTTAATGAAGATCTAAACTAGTTAATTTTAACCTATTCTAATGGATCAGGTTGTATATTGTGAGTTTCCTAACCCCATATAGAAAGAACAACAATTAATCCTCACTATGAATAGCCAAAAAGAACCAGCTGAGTACTTTTAGAGCAGGATGTAGAACTTTTGTCCCAAACACACAGGAAGAAAGACAAGATGCAACATCTTGCAATATGGTTTATTTAGGCCACAACTTTATTAATGTACTCATTGGGAACTATTCAGCAACAACTCATATAGCGTGGATCATCACTCCTTTCCACCTGTTTGAGGGATGTCATCAGCCCCCCCCCCAGCCCCACGGCATCTGATCCAAGCCCGTGGCTAGGACTCCAATGCCCTTTTCTTGTGTGAAGGTAAATGGACTGGGAAAGTAGATTTTCTCCTTGCTACACCACATTAGGTGTACATTAGGAGCCACAACCCCATTCCCCAGCTTCTCTGGGGATGCCTTCCCTTAAGTCTGCTTCTAATTCCAGTTTATCAGGGAACCAGCTCCCCTATCAAACGAGTACTTACACTGAACACATGTCACAAGGAAAAGCCAGCAAACAGCTTGGCTGCCTCCCCTCACCTGAAGCCAGGTTCTCAGATAGCTTAACAATTCCCTCTCTAACATCAGCCAAAAATATAGCCATTCCCCTGTCAGAGAGGTACACCACATCTACCCTGAATAACTCTGGTACCAAATATGATGTTATTTTGGTGGACAATTACTGATCCCCTTTTCACACAGAAAATTAGCCATTTCTGGAGTCACACATCTTCTGACCTTGTCAACCTGTGGAGGTCTGGCAGCTTCCCCAACATATCCTCCACCACAGCATTTCAGAACAGTTTACAGTCACCCGGGAAAAGGGCGTGGATCTGCCCTAAATGTCTCTTTGCCCTGATGGTTAAGTCAATCAATCCCCCTACCTATTCTAATGGATCAAGTCACATGGTATGAGTTACATATCTCCATACAGGAAGAACAACCAGTAGTTCTCACTGTGAACAGGCAGAGGGGACCAGCTGAGTTGTTCTGGAGTAGGATGTATTGCCTTTCTCGTGAGAGATGGAGAAGCACATAGATCTGAAGTGCATGGAGGATGCAATGCTCATGATTTCTTGTACTACGTTGATTTTAAGCTAATGTACTCTACCTTTGTCTTTGGGGAGCTATGCTGTTATGGTACTACTTAAATTAGTTCTTTTGTTGTCTTATGCTCTATATAATAGGGAACTAAATATTTCTCTGAACAAAATTGTCTTGAATTTATTTTTTTGAGACTGTTTGCCTGATTGAAATGTTGCTCACAAATTGCAACTGATTATACTGATAATAATAAAAATCAGTACAAGTATATAAAATTGTTAGCTATCTACATTCTAAAAATAGCACACCTTGTAAACCAACAGGCAACGGCAGCAGTAGTAGCAGCGTCTGTTGCGTCAAGAGATTTGAGTGGAGTAGGGGGACTAGGGGAGCTCTTGGAAAGTTCCTCAGAAGCATCGAAGTTGAGCTCAAAGAGTGCTAAAGAAAGGAGAAACAGAAGGAAGAAAAGAAGACAGAAGGAACTGTCTGAAGCAGAAGACAAGGGAGATGTTGAAAAGTTCCCCAAATCTGAATCAGAGGACAGTATCAGAAGGAAAAGTTTCCGATTCTCGATGGAAGCAAGTCGACTGACATATGAAAAGAGGTTCACTTCCCCCCACCAGGTACAGTGCTCTTACTAAATAATTTATGTTCTTCTACTACCATGATCTGTTTATCATGGAAATTCCAGCAATGTTACAGGTAGAAGACTATGACTATATGAAGAGAGAAGAAAAGGAAAATGTGGGGAAAAGAGCTTCTGTTAAATTTAGTTTTTGTAATCATTATAATCAGCAGTGTTTCAAACAGTTAGCTGGATGTTTCTGTTAAATCATCTAACATGGGCTTACTTACCCAAAACTTTGCTAAAACACTTCTAAAAATGTATTTCCATAAAATATCGTGCATACACAGACCACTTGATGATGTGGAGTGTTAAAAAGTTTTTGATTGGAACTCATTAGGAAAACTTACATAAGTCACTCATTGGTTGTCCACTCCTAAATCAGCTCAAGCCCCAAACAATAAAACCTTTGTAGGAGACAACATCCCCATGTATTCTCTGTATTTTAGGAATACCAGACCACCCTTAACTTTTGTTGTTTGTGTTACTGAACCCATTTTTAAATGTCAGGGGGTAGCCATGTTAGTCTGTATCCACAAAAACAACACGGAGTCTGGTGGCATCTTAAAGACTAACAGATTTATTTGGGCATACATTTTCATGGATTAAAAAAACCCTCACTTCTTCAGATGCATTTTTAAATGGTGGCAAATGAGAAAAATATTTCTGAGTTTCCAAAATAATGAGAATGGGACAGGGGAACATTTAAGCTTATACCAATAAGTAATTTAGACATACTGTTCATTTTAAATTAATTCATTCTATATGAGAGCATCATTATATTCCACCACAATAAGGGCTTGTCTTCATGGCAAGTTAGCGGATGGCAAGCCAGGATGTGAATCTATAGTCCGCTACCTTGACATCCACTAACTCACACTGTGGATCCTGCTACAGCACACTAAAAATTCAATAGTGTGCTCTGATGTTTGAAACAGTAGGATGACAAAGCGCACTACAAACTTAGTGCGCTGTAGCAGGGTCCACACAGTGAACTACTGTGTGTTAAACTAGTGTGCTGTAGATTTACCCCTTGGCTTGCTGCACACTAACCTCCCTATGTAGACAAGTCCTAAGTCAAGGTATCCCTTCTATCACACTGGGATAACTTTGCTTATATAACTCAATTCAAATTCCCAGATACTGTATGCATTTAGGTGCCCATTTAATGTCTAGAGATAAAAATTCTTGGGTAGCTATAATTTGATTTGATATAACAATAGTACTTTGAACTTATGTATTTTGGGTCTGATCCAAAGCCCATTACAGTTGATGAGTGTCTTACCATTCATTGCAATGGGCTTTGGATCAGGCCCATAAAATGCCTTTCATCTAAGGCGCTTAAAAAGCTTTATATGAATTAAGCTTGACAGTATCCGTCTGAGTTTGATACATATTATCATCCCTGTTTCACAGGTGGGGATACTAAATGACTTGCTTAGGTCACACAGAAGGGTCAGTGACAGAGCCAGTAGAACCATAAACTTCTGAATCCTAGTCCTGAGCTCTATCTACTAAATCACACACCCTCCCATAGTTAACCCCATGCCCTGCAACTCTCTTGTATGCTTACAGGACAGAGATGGTATGGGAAATACTTGATGTGGATTTATTTTCTAACAGTAAAGTATCATTGGCATGGACTAGTCCATCATATTTTATTCACCTCTCTGAAAGCCTTCTTGCCTTTTACCACCAAGTCCCCCATCAGCAAGAGCTAAGAAACTACTATAGAACCTTAGCAAGCTTAAAAATCTCAAGGCTCTTTAAATACTTTCCAGAACACTGAACAAAATGATAATTCATCATGTAAAATGAAAAATGAAAACCCATCAGATAGAAACAAACATGGTACATTTTAGGTTTCAGGTTAAATAAGGGAAAGGTACAGTAAAAAAAAGGGAAATGGCTTTTCTTAACTGGCCACGACTTACACAAGCAGGGATAAAGTAGCCAGAAGAACAACCACCTAAAGTAAAACTTTTCACCACTGAACTTATCAAGGGAGCTAGTGATCTAAAGAGTATCAAATCACCAATTTAACTAGCTAACTTGGTCACTTTTTGTGATGCAATATCAGTACTTCGGGGCAAATCTTGCCCCTCTGCATATCCAGGGAATGGCCAAAATGCAATGGAAATGCCATCTGTCTGTTGTGCAATGAAGGGAGATGGGAAGAGTCTGTGTTGGAAATACTCTGTGCCTCGTGCCACACAGAGAATTCCCTAGTGATTGTACATTATAGTGTGAGTAGCGATGGTTAACATGATGAACAGGCTGAAAGATCAGAGAAAACATGGCGAATAGGTCTGTGCAGGGCTGCCCAGAGAATTCAGAGGGCCTGGGGCAAAGCAATTTCGGGGGCCCCTTCCATAAAAAAAAGTTGCAATACTATAGAATACTATATTCTTGTGGGGGCCCCTGTTGGGCCCTGGGCCTGGGGCAAATTGCGCCACTTGCCCCCCCCCCTCTGGGCGGCCCTGGGTCTGTGTGCTGCTCTGATCCACTGGCTCAAGACTCCATGTGTGTGCATATGAGTGAGGAGCAGCAGTCTTCATCCACAGATCTCCTCTCACACCCTATTCACTATGGATCTGCTCCAGCTCCCCTGGGGAGGTCTCCATTCATTTCAATGGGAGCTGGATTAGCTCGTGTATCCCATGTGTCCCCCTGCATGCACAGCAACTGCTACAGATTTGGAGTGAGGGGTCTATTTCTTCTGAATGTATCTTTTGAGCATGTGTGTCTGAGAAGCACACAGCTCTTTCAAACCAACTGTGCACTTTTCCCTCTGGAGTTACTCCCTTAGGGCTCAACCTAGGGCTCAGAATCAACGGGAGCCCAGCATATGGAAGGATTGCAGAGTTAGGCCTTAGAAATTATTACAAAAATTGATTATCTCAGGTTTTGAGTTGTATAACTTAAATTAAAGATGAATGCACTGCAGTCTTTGTTATACTATTTATCAAACAAATTACAGTGCCACCAAGTAAATAACTGTAACAATTCATTTTGGTAGATATGTAACTATACAAAGTACTAAGGTATAACTGCAGAATATAAATGATGTATAATTGAGTTATGAAAAATACAAAATTAAATATAATTAATTGCCAAGAAAGATCAAAATTAGTCAAAGAGAGCACCTCTATCTAATTGCTATAACTTCCTAAAAAGGGACACACACACACACACACACAATAGTCACAAAAGTTTGGTATACCTTAAAAACATACAGAAATGAAAACCTTTTTTAGTGGATGCAATGCAGGAAAGAAGTTATATATACAATTACACACACAAACTGTTATAAGAGCATTTGCAATGTCAAGCTTTCAAAAGTTACTAAATGCCAGAAATACACCAACTTTATTTCAGCTTCTTTGTGTGTATGCATTATGATACAATTACATGACCACATACTGTTTTTTCCACAGGACCCCTGCTTCATTCAGTGCACAGGATGGATCTTCTTTGGGCATGATTCAGGGTTATGTAGTGAAGGAGACTGTTGTCTGTAGGATATGTGCTTCATATGTTACAGGAGGTGAACGGTAGGTAGTGAATGAGGCAGGATCTCCTGATGTAGGCAGCTGAATGCTGCCCTGGGGAATTGGATTCTATCCCTGCCTTTGCCACAGAGTTGCTATGTGATAAAGGATACATTATGTTACTTAAAGCAAACTTTTCATGGGTTGTCACTAACTGTGCATTCCTAATTTTCTGGGTGTCTGACTGGAGACCTTCAGTCTCATTTGCAGAAGTGCTGAGCACTCACAGCTGCAAATGAAGTCAATGGGAGATATGTGTTGAACATATAAAGCACTATATATAATAAGTACTCTGAAAATCAGGTCCTAGAGGTCTCAAATTGGACACCAAAATTAGTGGACAATTTTGACCTCAATCTCTCTGTGTTTCAATTCCCCATCTGTAAAATGGGAATAATTTCAATCCCTCACCTCACAGGAGTTTTGTGAAATAAATTCATAACCATTTGTATAGTACTTGGATATATTACAGTGAGGAATGCCACAGAAAAGCCCAGGAGGAAATTAATAATTCTGTCTTCACAGTAGGGTTTGAATAGTGTGCAGGAAATAAGCATGGAGCCACACTCTGAACGAGGAAAAAACAAAATAGCTGCTCACTTAAGTGAGCACCATCCATTCTATTCACTCAATGATGATAAAAATAGAATATGATTGTGTAAGTCACAATTGTATCTTAATGCACACACTCAAGGGGGCTGAATGAAGGTTATACAGACAACCTTAATTCTGGCATTTCCTACCTTTTGAGTGCTTGACTTCGCAACCTTAATATTGTTCTTCTAACGTAGTTTATGTGTCATTTACTTGGTTTTTAAAAAAGCAAACAGAAAAAACAGAAATTCCATCATTTGGCACCATATTGATACCCCATGGGTCATTCAGCAGGAGCTTCTCAGATCAGTCCTAGTCTCACCCTTATAGACTACCTATTCCAGTTCCAGTCTCCTTGCCCAGATAGTTGCAGTCTCTCCACCTGGCTCCTCAGACAATCTCAGTCATCTCCCCCACCCCTGGGCTCCCAGTTCCCCTGCCTTCAACATTCCCTCCCCAGCACTGAATCCCAATCATCTTACCCAGCCAGTCCCAGTGTCCTGCCCACCCCAACTTCCATTTGCATTTACCCTCTTCTCACTTTCCTCATCCCACCTCCATCAACCCCTGTTCCTAGTTGCCACCCCAGGCTCCTTGTCCCAATCAATTTCTCCCAAGTTCTCTGCAGGTCTGGCTCTTCTCTCCATCACATTGGAATCTGTCAGCTTCCTCCTCCTGAACACAGCAGGGGAAGCATTGAGAGCACAGGACAGAGAGCTTCCCTGCTCTCAATTCAAGTGTCAGTTCAAGTGGACCCAGCATAGCCCACAGCTTCAAGAGCTTCAATTGCAGGGAAAGTCCTGCTCAGCTCCAGGCTGGAGCATGCTCCAGGTAGACAGACTCTTCAGGGAATTTAGCTGCTAAAACCTAAGAAGTCTCTACTGAGATGTGTGATCTGTGATTTTTATAATGTTACCAAATTTGGGCAGATTTTCATGGGGATAGCAAAAGAAACATCCTTGGAACGAAGACCACCCCCATGCCAAACTTTAAGTCTATGCCCCAAAGCGGGGGGGGGGGGGAGCAGAGGAGGGACACACGACACTAGAGCTTTTCAAAGGAAAGGACACCAGAATTTTTTAACATGGGCAAAACAACATATTTTCTTAGCCTCATTCTTGGAAATGGCTCTGCAACTTTAAGCAGAATTTTCCAAAAACATTTAGACTGAGGCAGATAGCTGGCATGGAAGTTTTCAACCCAAATGGTTAAAGTCTGGCAAAGTTATAAGTCTGGGTCTTATAACTGGAAGTGTTGGGTAGCCTTAATAAAAGGCAGTGCTACCAGTCCCACATATAATATATATATATTTCCAACAGTATTTTGTGCTCAGGTTCTTAGTACAGATGTAGGGATAAATATTTTTTAAAGGAGCCTTTGCTTTTCATATTCTTTCTTGCACTCACAATAAAATCTGAATGTAAATGCTATTATTTTATGCACGTAAATACTCATTTTTTCCTGAAAAAATAGTGGCTGAATTGAGACTTAATATACCAAGACATGACTGGTAAAAAGGGAAGCTTGAAGAAAGCTTAATGCAGGGTTTGTTTTCTCCAAGACTGTTACTAGTTTTATTTATTCATGAATGCTGCTAATGAAATATGCAGAAAGGAAGACAAAGGTTCTATGAAGCAGTTTCTTGTACTGTAATTAAATAGAAGAATTACCAACAAAGTTTGATTTGCTTTTTCTCAGTGCTGATCTCTGTATACTTGCTTTGAGTCAAATCCTGCCTGGGACACTCATGCAAGCTCCTTCCAAGTCCCACATTCACATTTAAGGGCAGAATTAGAACTCATGGCCCTAAAATTTTATTAAAAGTAATTTCAACTATATGCAAAACCCACCTTTAGAACCGTAATGCATAAGTGGCAGCCTTCTGGGAACTCTGTGCAGTCTACGAGGGCTCTGCAGCCATTCCCTCACAGCACAGTGAGGGCGGGCATGTGCCAATACAGTTTCCAGCACGTCTTCTCCAAACTTTTCACTGGGTGGTAGTTTGAGAGTGCTGCTTATGCGGCCCCCACAACACGGGGCCTGCTGGTGAAGACTACAGACTGGTGTACAGCCCAGGCTTATCCAGAGTGACTTTAGCACTGATCATTAGAACACTCATCCCTCAGGAAAGTAGAGTGAGATGCGATGAGTAATCAGGGCCAGCTCCAGCATTTCTGCATTTGGGGAAAAAAAAAAAAAAGACCGCGATCGGCAGCAGCAGTTCAGCGGCAGGTCCTTCACTCCTAGAGGGAGTGAGGGACCTGCCACCCCCGAATTGCCGCAGGTGCCGCCCCTCTCCCTTGGCCGCCCCATGCAACTGCTTGTTAAGCTGGTGCCTGGAGCCAGCCCTGTGAGTAATGAGCCTTGTGATTTAGAGTCCCTGTTTCCCACAAGGAATGGAAAGAAAAATGTACAAGGACCCCTCATCCCTGCAATCTTGTGGGAGACAGAAAAAAGTAGAGCACATAAACAGTCAGGGTGTAGGTGGGAAGCATGCCTCTCTCCAGAACCCAGAAAATGGTGGACACCACCTCAGTCCCTTTTCTTTTTGCCAATGCTCCTAACTGCTAAACTTTCCTGTTTCCCTCCCCGCCCAACCAAACACTTTGATACCAGTGGCTGGACTTCATTCCCCTCCCTCTTTCTGACTACAGCCTCCATAACACTTTGAAAACAATCACTCCCCCCCCTCCGTAGATAACGTGGCCCTGTGAGCACATTGTTGGTGCTTAAAAACAAATAAATATTCTCTCTCTAGAGCGTGGTAACTACTTATCATGAGAAAACAAGATATTGTATTTTAAAGTGTTTCATTTACTAATGCTGTTCTTTGTGGGGGGCGGGGTTTTCTACAGTCTTTGCTGAGTATTCGTGGCTCCCTGTTTTCCCCAAGGCGCAACAGCAGAACGAGCATTTTCAGCTTCAGAGGTCGAGCAAAAGATATAGGATCAGAAAATGACTTCGCTGATGATGAGCACAGCACTCTTGAAGACAACGAGAGCAGAAGAGAGTCTTTCTTTGCTCCAAACAGACATGGTGAAAGACGCAACAGTAACATTAGTGAAGCCAGTACGTCATCCAGGATGGTACCAGCGCTTCCACCAAATGGGAAGATGCACAGCACTGTAGATTGCAATGGGGTGGTTTCTTTGGTTGGAGGACCTTCAGCTCTCACTTCGCCTACTGGACAACTTCTCCCAGAGGTGATCATAGACAAACCACTGATCATAGTAACTTCAAGGTCATATAATCAAGTTTGAAATAGTTCAGGCAGGTGTTTCTACAGCTGCAAATTCATCTATATCTTGTAATTCTTTTAACACAGTAAAGGGGCGGGGGAATTTCAGATACATATTGCAGAACTGAACTGAAATATTCTGCTGTTCCTACATGCACTGTCTTCAATGGGAGATCTGCATATAGGATATGGAGAGAAAAATATCTTAATTGAATGTTTTCATCTGGATCTAAGTTTTGCCCCAACAAAACAGATTGAAATAGATAAACTTCCTTCAGTCCACAACTAAGTAAAAGTACAGTACTTGCAAACACATAGAACTAACAAGATAAGGGGTGATACCAAGAACTTCAATGGGAGGAAGACCAGATACATAATATTAATGAGAAAATGTGTTTATTATACACCCATCCAATTGCATTAATTTCAGCTGATGTTGTAAAATTCTGGAATCCCAAATGAGATATTTAAAATATTTACAAAAAATGATGGTATATACAGTATAATATTATACAAAATGTATTGGCAATGACACTGGCTAGCTTTTAATGATACTGAATTTAATCACAAACATCTTCTTTACAATGCAGTATTTAAATTTCACTACCACCATATATTTCTTGTTTTGTTTCTATGTTTATTTCCTATCCTGAAATAGGTCTTTGGACCAGAAATTCAAAAAATTAACTAAGGAAACTGCCAGTTGGTACATGTTTGCTTGTGCATATTTGATAGATCTTTTCATCTAAAAGAGATTCAGCCTGTTTATGTCGAGTCTCCTTTTCAGGAATGATAATTGTCCTCACTTGTACAGAGCTTTTTATCTTCATGCTAAACCAACATTAACCAATTAATCACTGCAACCCCCTTGTGAAGTAAGCAAGAGTTATTATCCCCATTTTACAGGTGGTAGAACTAAGGCAGAGAAAGTAAGGGCTTGTCTACACAGTACATTAGTCCGCACCAATTGGGAATGGGAGGTAAATACTCATATGCACCAGCGTTTTGTGCACTAACTGGCCCATGTGGACCCTGCTGATGCACATTAAAAGCTCCCTACTGCACGTTAATGTCATCCTATTTCAAGCAGTACTACATTAACACACACTAGGGGACTTTTAGTAACCGCCAGGAGGGTCAACACTGGCTAGTTAGTGCATAACATGCTGCTGTGCTTTAGAATTTACACTCCATATGATGCAGATCACTGCACTATGTACTGCCCTAAGTGACTTGCCAAAGCCATACAGTGATTTGGTGAGAGAGAGCAGGAATTGGGATTCACGAATTCCTTACTCCCACTCCTATGTTCAGACCAGTGCACCATGTCTCAAGCAAGAGGAAAAGAAAAAATTGTAAAAAATATACACAGGCTCAGAAGCAGTAGCCTGCTAAGGAATGTTTAACTCAGAGTTTAATATTTATTGCTTTATAAAGGTAACTTGAGATCATATAAAACAGAAGGCAAAAGTCCAAGACCATCATATTATATATCCTAAACATTTATAAACTTGAATGGACTAGGAAAATATGTGGTGACTTCCATATTTATTGCAACCCTTTTGAAACAGTGAGATTTAGGTGGATGAAAAAGCAATGATTATAACTTGATTTTTCCATCATCAGAAATGCTTTTATAGAAATTGTGAGATTTCTTAGCAGGATGGGAATGCAACATTTAATAGCACAGTCATCATTAATTCCTTACTACTGTATTTCATGCACCAATATTACCCTTTTAAATACTAGCTTTTTTGCCATTGCTACCTTATGACTGGCAAATATGCACATCTGTCAGGAACTTTGGGTAATAGGCTACAAGTGCGGTTAATTTCTTAAGAGATTAATAAGCATTTAGCAAAAAGATACCTGGCAGCAAATTTTAGTTTACTCACAGCATTTATTTAAATTAACCATTGGTCCCCAACTTCCTAGCACTGCTTGGCAATTTGCTCTCCAAATTGAGTCATCTTGCAAATACTTTCTCAAACAACCCCTTCAATGAGAGAACCTGAATCTCTGCTAGAACCTAAAATCCTCCTTTTCCTCTATCTAATCACACTGCGTGTATTTGCATATACCCACTTCCGATTAGCTCACTGCTTATTGGGCAGTTTGAAATTCCCACCAGACATCTAGGAAACAGCAAAGATAATCTTAGTGGAGACAGAAACTTGCAGTATGTAAGGAAAGTCTAATATATTGGATAAGAAGCTATTCATAGCAGACTTTACTTGAAAGTCATGATAGGATTTGTATATTGTGTTGTTAATAAGTTGCTGAAAATGGTTTAATTCACCAGCATTTCATTTGCAGTGCACCACTACAGAAACAGAAATAAGAAAAAGAAGATTGAGTTCTTATCAAATTTCCATGGAAATGTTGGAAGATTCTGCTGCAAGGCAAAGAGCAATGAGTATAGCTAGCATACTCACAAACACAATGGAAGGTATGTGACGAATTTCATTTTTATACACATTTCACTCCATTTGTGTTAGTTGCTGCATTTAAGACAAGATGTACACAATTTCACTTGTAATTGTATAATTGGACAGGTGAAGTCTGTATGGCATTGGAAGTACATAATGAACATTTCCAGCACATGTTCTTAATCATTTACCCTGATTTATCTTAAACCTCCTATGATATTAGTCCCAATCTATATATTTTTATATATTAGCTCCAGTCTAGAACAGAGTAGGAGAAACAAAATAAACACTGTTAGGGAAATATTCCCCTGTGAGGAGAAAGAAAGATAATTTCTCTTAGTGCAGCCACTGAAAGGGCGATCAGGTCTGAAGGGTAACAGCCATCCAAGGGCAGATGACTAATTATGTCTTTTTTTTTAACCGCAGAAGGAGAAAGACTATTCCATGATACTAGCATTTATGATGAAGTGGTAGAGGTCAAAGAGAGAGCTAATATCGCAGAACGAGATTTCTTTCTAAAACATCAGATCAATAGGAGATTAAAGCAAACCTTCACAGAAACTCTCATTACATATTAATAATTTGTTTATGGTAGTCCCAGAGACGTGCTATGCATGGTCCTTACCCAAAGTCCTTACCTTAAAGTCCAAAGACAGACAAGTATGGAAAGTGAACAACAATTGATGTCTTTTGATTAAAAAAAAACATATAAAAATAAATTGGGTCCCTCCAACCCTAGACATCCACTTCTTCTCTTGAGTTACACTTGAGGGGTGCAGACAAAAATATAAATAACATTTTATACAAAAGTATAAAAACCTCATATATTGCAAGTTCCTCCTATAAAATATTTATTCACAAAAACTAGAAGAATGAAAGGTGATTTGGAAACATGATGAAAACTGAATATACTGGAACTTCATTCAAATAACATAACATTTTGACTTGCTCTAAAGATCTATCATGATACCTTTTGGCACAGTATTACTGATTAATATGGGTAGGAAAAATTTTAACAGCAATTCTAAAAAGTCAGACAAAGCCTATTTAATTTCCTTTGTAATGTGTCTTCTATCTCAAAGTTAAAGAACATGTATAAACAAAATTTACAAAGTACTCTTCAAATTCATTTGTGAAAAGTCAAAATTTCAACACATTTTTTAAAATGAGTTCCTAAGTCACTTTCTCATTTCTCAGAGAAGCAAATCAATCCAAGCTTAATTATAATCAGAGATGAAGGTGTACATTACCTATCCTCCTGTAAAAATATTTCCAATGCGTTTTTACAAATCTCAGATCACAATAGAGTCTTCCTTTCTACTAGATTTGATGTCAGTTGAGTCCATACAAATTTGACTGATTAATACAAGAAGTTAGTACAAATTTTCCAATGTCTCTAAATGAAGCACTATGTGTAGATGGGCCAGTTTGCTTCCCATTATGCAAAATTCTGGGCAAGTTCTGCTCTCACCTCTGTCACCTCTTCCTTCAGCTGAAGAAGATTCTCACTGTTTACCTTTCTCTCCCTCTTCCTTTACTAGCAAGGACAGGCAGAAAAATCAGAAGATTTGAGCTTATACCATCCTGATAGCTCCTTTGTAGCCTCAAAGGCAGTGTTTTTTCAGCCTCTGGAATATGGCTAGGGAAACCCTGTCTTCCTTGTCCTCCCAATCATTCTCTCTGAAAGCCCATTTTCCATCCCAGTTCAGGATCACTGTCAGTAACCGAGATGTGGTCATTTGGGGCTAGTGGTTTGAGTAGGTATCAGTAGCCAGGAATTGCAGCCCAGGGTCAGTAAGAGGTCAGAGTCAAGGGTCAGGAGCCAGGAGATGGAACCAAAGTTCAGAGTCAAAGTCAGGAACCGGAGTCAAGTGTAAGAATTGGGTTACCTAGAATGGGGGGTGGGCAGGAACTAACGCAACCAGGGGCAAATGTTTTGAACAGTCACGGAATTGGTGCTCAGCTTAAGAACTGGTCTGCTGACTCCTCCAACTGATCATGTGGTATAGCCAATTATGCAGACTACTACAGGCCAGCTGCACTCGTTAAGTTACCTGAAGACTGGCTCTGCTGCAGGCCCTGATTCCTAACAATAATCCTCCCCCGTCAGCATTCTGACTAGCTAAACATTCAGAAATTTGGTTATTCCACCCAATCAACCTGTTCTATCTTACTGCAGGAAGATCTTCACTACTAATATTTATATAGAATTTTGGAAACTGCTCATCACCTACTGATGCCCTTTGCAATGCACACACTCAGACTCAACTTCTACTAAACAGTGCCATGACATTTTGGGGGGGAAGGAGGGAAAAGGGGGAGTGGGGTGCTTTTCACTAGGCTAACTTCTTTTCACTTAAACCAGAATATCTCCATCTTCCTTCTGCCCCATCCCCAAACATCCCATTAAGGTCTGATTTCTCACACTGGATGTTCATCCTTGTAATTAAACACTATTTAGAGGCAATTTGGCTTCTGGAAATCTGACCTTTATGATGATGTCAAATGTAAGGAAAAATAGGAATCAAATATTCCCAACAGAGGACACAGGCTTTCATAATAGATCTGCTTCTTAATTGATAGATTTATTGTAAGTACATGAGAAGACAACTTTTCCTATTAAAACTGAGTGGGGGAAGGGTTGTGTTTGTCTTAACCCACATACTGCATGTTGCTGTTGTTTTAAAAAACAACAACAGTGATTTGAGTCAGTGGTGGATTAGCCACTGGGCCAATGGGCCCCATGCCCAGGGGCCCCGGCCAATTGGGGGCCCCCAGAAAAAGGGTGCCCTTGTGCCCCAACCTGCTCTGCCTGGTGCTCCTGCTGGGGAGCAGGGTTGGGGCACAGGGGCTTGCCCCACTCTGCCTGCCTGATGCTCCTGCCAGGGAGCAGGGTTGTGGTATGGGGGCTTGCCGAGGAGTGCCCGGAGAGGGGACTGCAGGCAGAAGAGGTGGGGAGGGGCCCCCACTTACTCTAGTCCAGGGCCCCACAAAATGGTAATCCGCTACTGATTTGAGTAAAGAATGAGAGTATCCCTCACATTGCAGTATGTGAAAGTAGTGGTTCAGTATTGTTTATTGTTTATTGTAATAGTGAATATGTTTTAGTTGAGAAAATCATGTACTACACAGTTAATGTGAAAGCAGCAGTATCATTATACTTATAAAGATATAAACACTCATTTGGAAATGTGTGTGTTTAGTGTACAAATTGCATATGGCTAATTCTTTCATATACTATATTTTAGCCGCACATAAACCTCTGGGATATTTTTTTAATTTTAAACTAAGAACTACTAGTGTCTCTGTTAGGAAAATTGTTGGTTTTATAAGTTAATGTTAAACATTTTTCCCCCCAGAACTTGAAGAATCCAGACAAAAATGTCCACCATGCTGGTACAGATTTGCAAACACTTTCTTGATCTGGGACTGCTGGAGCCCATGGTTAAAAGTAAAACATATAGTCAATTTGGTTGTGATGGATCCATTTGTTGATCTTGCTATTACTATCTGCATTGTTCTAAACACATTGTTTATGGCCATGGAACACTACCCAATGACAGAACAGTTCAGCAGTGTGCTTACTGTGGGAAACCTGGTAAGTGGGTTCTAATGTACCATGTAGTGGATAAAAATGCATTTTCCTAAAAGAAAGTGTTCATTAGATAGATAAAAACTTGTTTTAACTTCATTCCAGACAGCCTTTTATAAGCAGGTTAGAAAGTGTACATTGGACTCTCACAGATAAGAATGGCCTCTTCCATTGAGGCCAGCGTTGCAGCTGATTTTTACAGGAGCATGATCAGACCAATAATCTTGAGTTGTAATGAAATCATTGAATATTGTTTGACAGCATAATCTTCAGTTTAGGTAAATTGCTTGACAGATTCTTTGAAGCCTATCTTAGATTTTGTCTTTTTTAGCTGCTAGATGATGATTTAATTCTCTCCCGTTGGTACTGACACTCTTTGCATAGAAAATATTTTTTTAATGTCAGAAATCTAATAAAATATTCCACTATCAGAATAGCTCTTTGAATTGTCTTCAGTTACTTTTATATGAAAGTAGTAATACTGGAATGGCATTCCTTTTGCTACTAACATGCCAGTGCCACTTTAGGTAACTGGAAAAATACTCGCCAAACTAGAAGGTTATATTTTAATGCGTATCAGAAAGTGCTCAAGTGTTTGTAAATTTACCAACAATATCACTAGAAAAACTGGGTGCCATTTAAAGTTGGAATTTGAAACTTGGAATTTCAGAACAAAAAACAAATATTTTTTAAATTTCTCATGAACTGGAATTTCCAAGAAAAAAAAATCAGTTTCAGAAAATCTTCATTTTGAAATTCTGAAATTTTATTTAGAATGTTATTTTATTCTCTCTTCTCCAATTTTTATATTTTACATTATTTCATAACATTGTGTGCTAACTGACATGTCATAACATGACATAATCATTGAAATATTCTATTTTTTTTAATTTTCAAAGTCATTTAGGGCAGCTTCTACTTACTACTGATAAAACATTTTATCTTTTCTACATCAAAGGGTCACTCCAATCAGTACTAAGTAGCAGCTGCCCTTAATGATGTTTAAAATAAAAATAAAACAATAGAATAGAATATGTCCACCATTATTTTGTGCATTGTCAATAGCAGTCATAGTGCTGACATAGTATGAAATAATATAAAATAAAAATGAAAAACATTTAACATAACATTTTGGAATTCTGAAACATTTTCAGAAGTCTCAAAATGGAAATTTTTGTGCAAATGTTCATAAAAGTAAACACATTTTCCTAAATGTTCTGATTTAGACAAAAATGGCATTTTCCATTAAAAAAAATTCCTATGAATTTTGCTGTCATTTTTGTAATCCAAATGAAATGTGGTATGGTATTGTAGCATTGATACTAATACTGTATTGAACAAATCCCACCATAAAGAATAGCTAAGTACATTTGACAGTTGTGTGTGCAGAAGTGTTGTGTCAATTTTACATATTTATCTACACACTCTGTTAAAACCTCACCCATAGGCTTGCGGCTATGCACGCTTGCCTTTCTGGATAGTAAGACCTGCCAACTTTGTTGTTTGTGAGTGTGTGTGTGTGTGTGTATGTGTGTGTATATATATATACTCTCTCGCTCTCTCTCTGAATATATATCTATATCTATATCTATAGATATATATACACTGTCTCATTCACTCCACTTGCCATTTTCATGTTTAGTTGCAAGAATTCTTTGTCTGAGAACAGGATTCTTATAAAATTTTAATCCCTTGCCAGTGCACAAGATTGCAGAAAGTATGGATAGGAGAGGGATGGAATGAGACACACAGACTCGTCATATGCATGCCTGAGAACCAAAATCAACCAAGTGCCCTAATTATCATTGCTGGATGTTGAGAAGTCTAGCTTCTATTCATTTTGAACACTGATTTCAGGAGGTCTGACATATAGCTCTGTAAGAAGATGTTTTAAAGAACAGAACCATTTTCTGTAGCCTTTACATTTTGGCAATGACCCTTTAAAACAGTACATTAATAAAATATAAAAACAGAGAAAATTAAAATGACAATCTGAGATGCTCTTCTATAAATTAGGGTTTCCTTCCTCATGCAACAACTGAAATCACTCATATTTTCCTTGTATTCATTACACATTCCAGATTATTCTTCCGCAAGACATTATAGTCTGTCTTGCAAAAGATTAATTTAGACCCCTCTCACTCCAGCCATTTGCCAATCCAAGGTCCTGCTTTCCACCTTCTCGCCCATCCCCCATTTTGAATTCCTGATTTCCTTTCTCTGCATGTTAACAAGAAGTAGGCTTTGCACTATCCATTCTAATAATTCATTAACCTTAATTAAGGGTATGTGCATGCAGAGAATGTCCTCTCTACTGGTTTCAATTAAATCCTCAGTTCCTCATTTGGTGGTTTGCATCCAAAGAATGTTTTATTATTTGTTGATATCATATTCTATTGTTAGGGGATTGATTATGATATGGCAAACAGAAGATTGTGCTCTTGCAGTATTGTGATGAGAAGGAAGAAATAGTTATGAAATGGAATGATTTACTTTCTACACAATTTATTAGTCATTTCAGATTAAGAACGACCAGTAATAATCAGAAAAGGTAGATTAATTTCAGCTAAGATGTTCTATTTCCATTGGTTTTGATGGTGCAGCAAAAGCTCAAGAAAAATTATTTGTGGGTGATGGGCATGTGTGTTCGGGAAGAAAGACTTTTTAAAATTTGTGTTTCATTTACTACCTAAATCCCTTGACCCCAATTGTAACTGTTCTGCAGAGTTGTCTCTTTTCCTCTGATTATGCTGTAATCTCCCTTAAATCTTGTCTAACTGTATAGTTTTGTTATTTCTGAAAAGTAATACTTGTAAAAAATATTGATTTGTACCATTTGACAGTGATTAATGTTTTAATGGTGTTTCAGGTACTGTACTCCCAATTCTGAAATTCCCAGATTTAGGTCCAGTCACCCACAGCATCACACTTGCATAGTGGTTTGAAAAAGTCAGTCCTGCTGCCACAGAATTAACTATTGTGGGGCTGAGAGCAAGTGGGATGAAGGAACTGCACAATCACAGTGTGGTGGCAGAATGCACAATTCCTGCTTCAGCAGATAACTAGGAAAATCCTGGACACACTTCTGTGGTATTGCAGAACACTGGGATGTATCTGGCACTACATAATTGTTTCAGAATCACTAGGGCTTTACATGCTGCTTATCAGTATGTAGTGCAGAAGAAATCTCGGGGTGAAATCCCTGGCCCCACTAAAATCAATGGGGTTTTGCCATTTACCCTTGGTCCCTTCAAATATTTTGAACCACATTTTTCCATATGAATGTGGAGCTCTCGGAAGGTGCTAGATTGGCAGCATTGAAGGATCGAACCCTCTCTTTATCCACAGAACAGGAACAGCCCAGACAGAGCAAGCTTCTCTGTACTATTCCACCTCCATACTTCAGTTCTGACCTGAAGGAACCACCATTAGGGGGAAGTTATCTCAGACTCTCTTCTGAGACTGCCAGCAAGGATGCAAATTACTGTCAATTCTTGTGTTATTTTTATTTGATGTATCCTGTAGGAACTGGACTGAAAGCACCAACTCATAAAACATAAGTTACTAGATAAATGCCAGAAGGTAAAGTCTTTCAGTCACTGATTTTAATTACTGAATATAACTGTGTGAAAATATTAAGGAACTATGAAGATATATAACAAGCTGTTATATGTAACAGTTATAGCCTATTAGGGTTACCATATTTCAGCAAGCAAAAAAGAGGACGGGAGGAGCCCCGCCCTAGCCCCGCCCCTGCCCCTCCCACTTCCCGCCCCCCCAGAATCCCCAATCCTCCCCCCGTTCCTTGTCCCCTGACTGCCCCCTCCTGGGACCCCTGCCCCTAACTGCCCCCCAGGACTCCACTCCCTATCTAAGCCTCCCTGCCTCTTGTCCCCTGACTGCCCCAACCCTTATCCACACCCCCACCCTCAGACAGACCCCTGGGACTCCCACGCCCCATCCAACCACTCCCCACCCCCTGACAGCCCCCCCCAGAACTCCCAACCCATCTAAACCCCTCTGCTCCCTGTCCCCTGACTGCTCCGATCCCTCTCTGCACTCCTGCCCCCTGACAGCCCCCCCCAGAACTCGCAACCCATCTAAACCCCTCTGCTCCCTGTCC